TTTTCAGGGTACACATTAACACGACTCCATCTTCAGCTCTCATCTTCGCTCTTCGCTGTGTCTGTGTACAGGCTTTCCCACCTTCCCAGACCACGTAACTGAAAATAGACTCACCAGAGCGCTTCAGTTGTGTGTGTCGCTGGTTCGGCCATTTTGAAAGAGAAGGCACTTGTGCTCTCTCCTCTCATTCTCTCTTTCTCTTTACCAAATTGAGATTCCTGGGAAGGAACTGACTGATCCAGCTTGGATCATGTGTTTACTCCCAGACCAGTTAGCTGTAGCCAGGGTTGACGCTACACGTACAAGCATGACCCGCTCTAACCCTGTCCACCATAACCTGCACGTGACAGGGTGAGCGTTTCCAGGGAGGGGCTGGCTAAGTAGACAGTCCAGCAGTAGTTTCAATCCTTTTTAAAGATTTTATTTATTTATTTGTCAGAGACAGAGGGAGAGAGAGCGAGCGAGCACAGGCAGACAGAGAGGCAGGCAGAGGCAGAGGGAGAAGCAGGCTCCCTGCCGAGCAAGGAGCCCAATGTGGGACTCGATCCCACAACGCTGGGATCATGACCTGAGCCGAAGGCAGCCGCTTAACCAACTGAGCCACCCAGGCGTCCCAGTAGTTTCCATCCTAAATGAGCACATAAGCAAGAACAGATGTAGCTTGTAGGAAAGACCAAGACCCCCAATGGGCTCCCAACAGCAATGACAGCAATAGCAACCTATGACCAAACCACAGAAAGAATAAAGAAAAGATAAAGACTGTGAAATATCAACAAATGTCAAAGAGAAAGAAAGTAAGACTAAGAATTCCAAGTACATCATTCTGGAGAACCTCTTCAAACTAGAAAGGATAGAATGGACAAGCCTAAGATGACATTCCCTGCCTTCCATCTCACCCTAATAAATAAACATTCAGAGCACCCACAAAACTGTAAATGTTATAGTTAATGTTGATTCAAATCCCATGCTCTTCTTTGTGTGTGTGTTTTTTAAGATTTTATTTATTTATTTGACACACAGAGAGAGAACATAAGCAGGGGTGGGAGGCAGAGGGAGAGGGAGAAGCAGGCTCCCCACTGAGCAGGGAATCCCCATGAAGGGCTCAATCCCAGAACCCTGAGATCATGACCTGAACTGAAGCAGATGCTTAACCAAGAGAGCCACCGAGGTATCCCAAAATCCCATGCACTTGTGATCATTATGTGGCCTCATAATAAAGTCAGTCTTTTTTTTTTTTTAAAGATTTTATTTATTTGACAGAGAGAGATCACAAGTAGAGAGAGAGAGAGAGAATGGAGGAAGCAGGCTCCCTGCCTATCAGAGAGCCTGATGTGGGAGTCGATCCCAGGACCCTGAGATCATGACCTGAGCTGAAGGCAGAGGCTTAACCCACTGAGCCACCCAGGCAGCCCCAAAGTCAGTCTTAAGTTCAAAAAAATCAGTTGTTATGAACTGACTTGATAGCAGATTTGAGAGAAAAATCTGGGTTATCTTGTCCATAAGCTGATTTCAAGTTCCCAGTAATGAGATCTAACTGCCAAAGAGCATCAAACATGCTCTAAAAAATTGTGTGTGTGTGTGTGTGTGTGTGTGTGTGTGTGTAAGCATATGAGTAACAGTTGGGAAGTATAGGGAAGCACAAAGAAGAAAGAAGTTAGCCATGATTTCCCAAGGCAGTGCCAACTTCTGGGAACATTTCAGTAGATCCCCTTCTGGCAGTTTATGCTCATGCACATGAGGTCTTCTGGCTGTCAGGACTGGTTCTTGGCCGCAGATAGTTTAAGAAGCAGCACTGGTCTACTCCAGCTATGCTCTCTTTAGACAAAACTGCCTGTTCCAGGGGCGCCTGGGGTGGCCCAGTCAGTTAAGCAACTGATTCTTGATTTCAGCTCAGGTCATGATCTCAGGGTCCTGAGATCCAGCCCCCCGCCTGCCCCCTACCCCATCTAGCTCCCCACGCAGGGGAGAGTCTGCTTCCTTCTCTTTCTCCCTCTGCCCCTCCCCCTGCTTGCGCACACTACCCCCCCCCATAGTAAATAAATAAATCTTTAAAAAAATTTAAAAACTGCTTGTTCCAAAGAGGATTCTGCCACAGCTGCGGCCACTTGCAAGGGTCAGTTCTAAAATGAGCACCTGCTTGTTTTGCTGGAAGTGGGAAAATTTGAACTTGGTGTGGAGGGATAAGCAGGAATAGACTTCAGTCTTTCATTAGGAACAAAGGAAGCCAGTGTAGGATTTTAAAGCTGAGAGATGGCATAATCAGACTTATTTTTTTAAAGGAGTGGGCAAGACAGGTTACAGGAAGGTGAGCTAGGACGTGGTTACAGTTGCTGGGTCAAGAGTTGATGGCGGTTTAGGGTGGTGGTGGTGGGGATGAAGAAATGTCAACAGATTCAAGAGATTTTGTTTAAAGGGAGGCTTAAAGACCTGTGTCAGGAGGTGAAGGAGAGAATTACCTTATTCCATGGTTCGGCTTTGTTTCCTGTATGTCTTAATACCGATGGTTTTTCAAGATAATCAGGTTTCTGTGTTATTTATTTAAATAAATGATAGGTAAACGGTTGGTTTGCTTTTATCGCGCAGTCCACTTGCTGTCAGCTCTGTGCCTTTACCTGAATACGTGGAGAGCATGTAAATTCCAGTCATAATTTACTATAGAAAATCTGATTATTGGCCCTTTTTTGAAATCCTGTGCCTTACAACCTGAGAATAAATTTTATTTCCACAACAACAAAAATCAACCGAATACTTAGTAGACTTTATTGAAAATATCATTTTGCCAGAAATACACTGGTATAAAACCATTAATTAAAATTTTAATATTGTTCTTTACATATGATATGCACGTGCTTACTAATATGACTGCTAATATCTGGTGGTTAAATTCAATTTGTATGTATTCAGGGAACAACTCATTCCTGGCATGGTTCAGCAGTGATTCTCAAACTCTGAATTTAGTTGACCAGTAATATTTCTTATAATATAGGGTTCCGTACTTTTTATCTTATCAAGTAAGAACCTAAAACTAAATAAATAAATTTTATATCTACTATATCACCATCAGTTCAAAAAATGTAAAAACAGTTAACACCAAAGGGTGGGAAGTAGCCAAGAAATGATTCTCTGTTTTCTCCATAACTTTTTTTTTTAAAGATTTATTTATTTATTTATTTATTTGACAGACAGCTTACAAGTAGGCAGAGAGGCAGGCAGAGAGAGAGAGAAGAGGAATCAGGCTCCCCGCTGAGCAGAGAGCCCGATGCAGGGCTCGATCCCAGGATCCCGGGATCCCGGGATCATGACCTGAGTCGAAGGCAGAGGCTTTAACCCACTGAGCCATCCAGGCGCCCCTCTCCATAGCTTCAAAAAAAAAAACAACTTTACTTTTACAAAACAACTTTACTGGGGCACCTGGGTGCTCAGTGGGTTGAGCCTCTGCCTTCAGCTCTGGTCATGATCTCAAGGTCATGGGATCGAGCCCGGAGTCGGGCTCTCTGCTTGTCAGGAAGCCTGCTTCCTCCTCTCTCTCTCTCTCTGCCTGCCTCTCTGCCTACTTGTGATCTTTCTCTCTGTCAAATAAATAAATAAACAAAATCTTTTTAAAATAAATAAATAAATAAGTAAAAATAAAAAACAACTTTACTGAAGGCATAATTTACACATAATAAAATGTACCCGGCTTAAGTGAGGGGAAAAAAAGAATAGAAAGGATAAAATCTTAGAAGACAGAACGGTTATTAAAACCAAACAGATTTAGTTTTTGAAAACTTCATCCATATCCTTTAGTTTTTTCTTTTTACCTTGCGTTGGTAAACATGACCTGGGGGCTGGTAGATTTTGGGTTCCACCCATTCTAGAAGTGACTGAGAAAGGAGAAATCTTGGGGCACCTGGGTGGCTCAGTGGATTAAGCCTCTGCCCTTGGCTTAGGTCATGATCTCAGGGTCCTGGGATTGAGCCCCGCATCAGCAGGGAGCCTGCTTCCCTCCCCCCACCCCCCCACACCCACCTGCCTCTCTGCCTACTTGTGATCTCTCTCTCTGTCAAATAAATAAATAAAACATTTTTAAAAACACTTTAAAAAAGAAAGAAAGGAGAAGTCTTCTCCAAACAGTGCAGGCAGGGGAGGAAAAGTAATTTTCTCTCTACCCTTCTAGAAATCTACTGCCACCCCCACCCCTACCCCAAATAAAGGACCCAGTAACAGGAGAAAAAGAAAACAATTTTAATTACATAGCATACACGGGAGCCCCACAAAGATACGAGACTCAAAGGCAGCTGGATATTTGAGGCTTCCGCGCCCTTCAGAGTTAAGGAAAGGGCTAGGTGTCCGGGCTGCCAAGGGCAGGGGTGGGAAGCCACCTGGGAAAATGAGAGGAGGAACTGTTTGGTAAACAAAGGCTGCCCGGGGCCCCAACATCAGGCTCTCAGGTAAAAAGGTGAACTCTGAGCTGTCTTCTGGTGCGGGCCCCTTTTCTAATGTAAATCTCCCTTATAAAGGGGTTACTTCTGCTGTTTTCAGAGCTTCTTCTGAGTCCCAGTTTCTCAAAAATAAACAGTACAAGGGGCACCTGGGTGGCTCAGTGAGTGAAGCCTCTGCCTTCGGCTCTGGTCATGATCTCGGGGTCCTGGGATCCACCCCAAGTTGGACTCTCTGCTCAGTGGGGAGCCTGCTTCCCCCCCCCCCGCCTGCCTCTCTGCCTACCTGTGATCTCTGTCTGTCAAATAAATAAATAAAATCTTTAAAAAAATAAATAGTTCAAAATAATAAGCATGCTAAAGAGGACTATTTTGGGTGGATATCCTGCCATCCTCCAACAGAGCAAATGCCAGAGCTAGCATTGAGGAGCCCTGCCTGCCCCCCACCCCATGAAAGGTGGAGGTCACCAGAGGAGGCAAGGTCTTAGCTGTGGGGCAGGGAGGGCAACTCTTATTTTGTATTCATTTATTTATTCATTACGTCTTACCTGTCTACTTTTCTCCTTTTTAACCTTTGTTTAGCTTATCAGCTGATCACCGTGGTGATCGCAGCAGCAGGAGGTGGGCTTCTTCTGATTCTCGGCATCGCGCTGATTGTTACCTGCTGCCGGTGAGTGCCAGGAGTTCACCTTCTTATTCTCTTTGCCTCCGCTAAGCAATAGTCTGTGTAGATTTTAAAGAATGTTTGGGGTGCTTTACAGTATTAAATCATCCTGTATAACGCAACCATTCAAAAAAGGAGAAAGGAAAATTCATGATACATAGTGCCATTGAGAAAGGACAGCAAATGGGACTCTGTTTCCTTTGCTAAAAAAAAAAGAATATCCCTAAGCACAAGCAATAAAAAAGTGATAGATTGGACGTCATCAAAATTTAAAAACTCCTGTGCTTCAGAGAACCCTATCAGGAAAGTGAAAACACAACCTAGGGAACAGGAGAAAGGGTTTGAAAATCATATGTCTAATAAGGGACTTATGTCTAGAATATAGAAAGAATTCTTAAAACTCAATAATAAAAAGGCAACTTCACTTAAAAATGGGCAAAACACTTCAATAGGCATTTCACCAAAGGAGATGAACAAATGGCCAGGAGGCACATGAAATGACGGTCTGCATCATTAGCCATCAGGGAAATACAAACAAAATTGCCAGGAGACATCACTGCACACCCACTAATATGCCCATTTAAAAACCAAGAGGGGGGGGTGGGAGGATGGGGTAACTAGGTCATGGGCATTAAGGAGGGCACAGGCTGTAATGAGCACTGGCTGTTATATAAGACTGATGAATCATGGACTTCTACCTCTGAAACCAATAATACATTATATATTAATTAATTGAATTTAAATGAAAAATAAAAATTAAAAAACAAGAAAATGGCAAGCATTGGTGAGGCTGTGGAAGAATTGGAACACTCCTGCTCTGCTGGCAGAAACACAAAATGGTGCAACCCCTCTGAAGGAGTCTGTCAGCTCCTTGGGAAGGTAAACACCTTGTCCGCCTGTGACCTGGTGTTGGATCCCCCAATAATGGGTCCGCGATTAAAGGAGTGAGATTGATACAAATCGAAGGTCAAGCAAAGCTTTATTTCACGCCAAGCATCAAGAATCAAACCGACCATCAAACCGACCGGTCGGGCCGCCCCTTACAGAGAGGGAGACCCCTCCCTGCCTTACAGACTAACTTTTATAGAGCAAAGGCCATGTGGTTGGGCCCGGCCACACACAGGCGGCCAATTGAATTACAATTTACCCTACAGTAGCTATTTGAACTAGCCTATCACCTTGGTCAGAATTGGTGCCCAAAAGGTGCCCAAAGGGTGGGGCCCACACTCCTTGGTAGCTAGGGAGACCGTATGCGCCCCCATTATTGGATACCTCCCCCTGACCTGACTCATCCCTGCATTCAAGCCCATTATCTCCACCTGACCTGAACCGCCCTTGTATTTGGGCTCTGTTAAGTAAGTTCCCCTGGGGGCGGGGGGGCAGGGTCAGTTTAAGTTTTACTGCATAAACAAAATCACTGTTTAACCGGATGTCATCGGTCTGGCTAAATAGGCCCTTACACCCGGCTCCTGCTCTCTGATGTCCATACCCTGGGAAGTGAATATGTACAGAAACATGCACAAAAGACCACCTCTTGTATGATTCCATCTCTATGAACTCTCCAAAATAGGCAAATCTCACAGACAGAGAGGTAGATTAGTGGTTTCCTGGGGCTGGTGAGTGAGGGGTGCGAACTGGGGAGGAAAGGGTAAGAGGCTTCTTTTTAGGGTGACACAACTGTTGTAAACATTGATTGTGGTGATGGTCACACACATCTGAATATACTCAAACCATTGGCTTACATACTTCAAATGGGCAAATTTAGAAGCAAACAAAGGTGAAGGGTTAGCAGAGCTGTTTCACCAGTAAGCAAACGGGAGTCGGCACATAGGGTGAGCTTGCACTCAGCAGCATGCTGGGCTCTGGGCTTCTTCGAAGTCAGTGCAGTGGGTGTCTACTGGGAAAGGAGGAGAAAGGAAGGAGTTGATTCCTTCTGTGGGTGATTATCTAGTCAGATAATGGAAAACTCTGACCTTTGATTTAGATGATTATAAATGGCAGGAATTTTTCTGACATAACAGATGGCGGGAACCTACCAAAATAGCAAGTTATCTTTTCGACCATTGATAGGAAGGACACCATAAGATATCTTTCACTTTCAGCAAGGCTGCAGAGAACAGTTTGCCCCTAACTGCCCTTCTGGGAACCCATACCTCATGGTACCGTGTTTGCCTAACATTTGCCAAGTTGCCACCCGATCATCAAAGACAAACCATGAGTGGAAAAAAAGTCCTGGGTAAGAGACCAGAAACTAGAGGGATTAAACCTCAAGAGGAAGTAAGCCTCCTATTTGCTAAGTATCGGAGAACCAGGTAGTGTGACCACCTGGAGAAGGAGCCAGTGTCTATGGGCTTTGGCAAAAGGGAAGGTAGTCATGAATTACTAGGTCATTGTTTGAAACCGGAGGCCCCACCCTCCAGGGAGCAACACAGTGGCAGATCTGTTCTTGAACTTGCAAGAAGGAACAACGCCTAAGCCACATGCGGGACATTTGGTTTTATGACCCTGAGTCATTTTGTGCCTTCCCAGAAAGTTTATTTATAGGGAAGGGAGGTAAGAAGGAAGAAACTTCAGATTATTTTATCCAGGGCAAATATAACAAAAAATGTCTGCTCCTAGGCCCATTCCATAGGTAAATCACACATATTTCCACCATTTCCAGCCAGGGAACCCTGACAAGTAGGGGAGCTTGTCCTGGGCTTTCCCTGACCTGCTGAAATGAGAATGTGTGAAGCTAATATAAACAGATGGGCATTTTTGCAAATGAGAGAGCCTGGTTTTATGGTCAGTGGAGTAGCTTCATGGGGTAAAAGGGCCCTGGCTGGTGCTGCAGGAGGCCTGCACCTTATCCCAGCTTCATTAGTAGCAAAACGTAACCTAGGGAACAACAAGTCTTATTTTTTCACAAAGCCAGAGCTGTCCCGTCCCCAGAGCCCATCTCTTAATAAATTTTGGTGAAACCTACAGATTTCCGTGTATATCCTGGTCCTCAGGCAGGTTTAGAACCATAGGATTAAAGAATCCTAAAGACCCTTTGGCTCCAGCATTCTGGGAATTCATGACTCTGATTTCCCTGACTGCCCCCAAGATGCAGTGACCTCAGTCCCCTGGAGAAGACTGCTTCACTATAGATAGCTGTTCATCCTCTGCCCATGGTAACCTGTCCCTTCCAGTTGGAAGATCTTTTTGCAATTTTTTTTTTTTTTGCATCTAATTGCCTTTTTATTTGTTTTAGGCAAAATATAACAATAATGCCATTTCTTCAGTGGGCATTTATAAAAGAATGTAATGGTAGCTTTCCGTCTAAACTACCTTCTAAAATAATAAAAACATGCTTTCATAGATATTTCTTTACAGAACTTGTTTATTTAAATCATCAACTATTTTCCATTCCACAGAAAGAGTAAAAATGACATAAGCAAACTCATCTTCAAAAGTGGAGATTTCCAAATGTCCCCATATGCTGAGTACCCCAAAAACCCTCGCTCACAAGAATGGGGCCGAGAAGCTATTGAAATGCACGAGAACGGAAGTACTAAAAATCTCCTCCAGATGACGGATGTGTATTACTCGGTGCGTATCTCTGTGCCCGGGACAGCTCAGGCTCTGATCCCCTCTGGAAAGTACAGGGATTGTGTTTTGTGGTAAAACAAAGATAACTTCAGCTGCTTAAGGGTTAAAGAGAATGGTGGCCTGAGCCTCTTATTTATATAATTTAATATACAACTCACTTACAATCTGTTTGCATGGTATTTGTTAGTTTTGACATCAAGATCATGAAGGCTACTTCCCCCGACCGAGCTCATTACTTTTATGGGATTGTAGCGATAATCCTTCCTGGGACCAAATTTGCTTTTGAGTTATAAGATTGGAAACTGAAAGTGAGCAGAAAGAATTTGTTGTATTTAGGCTGTGGCCCTCACATTTTCATCCCTTGTCTGCCCCACTTTTCCTCCTGTGCTTGTGGGATTGGGAACACTCCAGAGAACACTCCAGTGGCCTCCCCAGCAGCACTTCTCAGAGTTTTAGGAGATGTTCACTCAGTGAGTCTTCAACAGTGGGCCCCATCCAGTCCTGGACGGCATCATCTGGGAAGACGGTAGACCCCCGGGAGCTCTGGCTCCTTCTGTCCCACCTCGGATAACCCGTGCCCTGCCCGTTTCATTTCATGTAACGTGGCAAACACAAATGGGGCTGTCTGAGCTGGGAAGTAAACAGACGTAGGTGACTTCTCATTCCACGTGCACCTCTTTGAGGTAGCAATAAATGTGGAACCTTGCCCCGTGGGGACTTAATAGCGCTGTGACAGAAGTTACAACCCCTCTAGTTGCTATGGGGATGAACCCTGAGGGTTCAGACTTTGGATGGGAGAGGTTCATGCTAAGGAAGCTGTTGTTTCCATTGGACCCTTTGGAAAACTTGAAACTGGGGGAAGAACAAGAAGAAGTAAGAGGGCACCTGGGTGGCTCAGTGGGTTAAGCTTCTGCCTTCGGCTCAGGTCATCATCTCAGGGTCCTGGGATGAAGCCCTACATCGGGCTCTCTGCTCAGCAGGGAGCCTGCTTCCCCCTCTCCGTCTGCCTGCCCCTCTGCCTACTTGCGATCTCTGTCTGTCAAATATGTGAATAAAATCTTTAAAAAAAAAAAAAGAAGAAGAAGAAGAAGAAGAAATAAGGGAAAAGATAGACGCAGACACAAACTTCGAGCTGGGGTTAAGTGTTAATGTTTCCGCACAAGTGCTTGGCTGTGTTCTCCATGTGGGAAGCCCTGTTCCTCTCAGGGCAGGCAGGTGTCTGCAGCTGTCTGCAGCCCGAGCAGGTGTGCCTGCACCCTCACTCCGTTTGCCAGGGACTCTTCCCCCGTGCCTGGCGAAATCGCATAGGGACACAGACCCAGGGCACCAGAGGACCAACCCCGGTGTGCTTCCGTGGAGTTAGCGCAAGAGTTGCCTGAAGTAGAAATAATCAAGAACTTAAACCAGCTCCATCTTCCTTTCAGAAATGGGCTGAGCAGTCTGTAGAGCCTACGCTTATGGTATGAAGCTGTCCCCTGAGTGAGAAGGCTATCTCTCACAGTGGCCTCAGGTGTACCTCGGGCACTCCTAGGATCCATGTTCATTATATGCTGTCTCTAGTGTTTTCTTTCTGCCGGGCAAGCATTTTCTCCTGGTGGCCTCATTGAGGGCCTCCTCAAAGTAGCTGTGTCGTTTCCCTGTGAGCTACTTTTGCACGTCAGCTAGGGAGCCATGGCCTCTGCTGGGATCTGGTCAGAGACGGCTGCCTGTTGCTGATGGCCTCCCACTCTGGGGTCCTGACGCCACCTTTTATAGGCAGTCCTACGACCTTGCAAAAGTCAGTTCTCTGTTTGTGGCAGGGACCTTAGTGCTGTGCTCTGCAAGAAAGACACTTTTTTTTAATGTCAAGATGATAATCAGGTAATAATGAATCTTTATGATAATTAGGATAATTAGCCCAGGTCTTTTCCTATATTGGTCTAAAATTGCTGGGCTGCCCTTGATCACTTTTTTAAATCTCCTTTGAAAATATGGATGCCTTTGAAAATCTCCTTTGAAAAAGGGATGCCAGGCTCCACTTTTTTTTTTTTTTTTAAGATTTTATTTATTTATTTGAGAGAAAATGAATGAGAGAGAGCATGAGAGAGGAGACGGTCAGAGGGAGAAGCAGACTCCCCAAGGAGCCAGGAGCCCGATGCGGGACTTGATCCTGGAAGTCCGGGATCATGACCTGAGCTGAAGGCAGCCGCTCAACCGACTGAGCCACCCAGGCGCCCAGGCTCCACTTTTTCAAATGGAAAAAAAGGGATAGAAAAAAAAAGGGATGCCAGGCTCCACTTTTTAAAATCTCCTTTGAATATATGGATGCCTTTGAAAATCGCCTTTGAAAAAGGGATGCCAGGCTCCACAAAGAGAGGGCCTGGGAGGTCCTGACTTCTAGGTCAGACCCTGCTCCACTAGAGTTAGCTGCCTCCCTCTTGGGTTTATTAAAACATAGCGTTCTTTTTTCTTCTCTTTTTTTTTTTTTTTCCAAAGGGAAAAAAAACACATTAAATTTAAATCCATGAATAATAAATGCACTTCTCTTCTCTTCTCTCTGGCCACCAGCCCACAAGCGTAAGAAATCCTGAACTTGAACGCAATGGACTCTACCCGGCGTACACTGGACTGCCGGGGTCACGGCACTCGTGCATTTTCCCTGGACAGTATAACCCATCTTTCATCAGTGATGAGAGCAGGAGAAGAGACTACTTCTAAGTGCGGAAGAGAGACAGCCGGCCCAGCACTCTGAGCAAGTTGTGGGCCCTCCACACTCAGAGGACTGCGCCAGGGGGGCCAGCGTGCTCACGGGCTGCTCCCAGGACTCATGGAGCCACACTCCTGTGGCAAGCAGAAAGCAGCAGGACAGGCGTGAGGGGAGTGACCACAGGGGAAGGGGACAGACAGATCCGGGACGTGGAACTGAGGACTGCTCCTTGGGCACCTTTGCCTTACTGTGAACATGAACAGGGGCCAGTCCCGGGTGTCCCCAAATGCGGCAGCCACCTCGGGGCCACCGGCCATGGGTCATGGGCCACGGGTTGACTCTTAACCAGGGCATGTCTTCAGGCACCTTCGCCAGGACCCAGTCTTTCCTTAGTTTGCACTTTAGTCAATTGGATAGGGAGGTCTCCTTTTGGATTTTTTCCAAGACTGTTCCAAAAAGAAGGCCTCTTTTCCTCAGACACTCCCATAGGCCTCGATCTGGTGATTAATTTACTGCAAAGTACAGGCTCTTTCGTGGTTCCCCTGCCCGGTATCTACATGCTAAACCACAGATGAACATACCACTAAGGTTTGGAGATGCTGCAGGTGAGCACACAGTATTTTTAGTAGGTTCTAGGTCTTCTGCAGTTTCCATCCCAACCCTCAAAATGAGGAACTGAACTGTTCGAGGCATAGCACACACTCCATTTTGTAGTCAAGGTGACATTTATTTAAGATTATTTCTTTTTTCCCTCCACAGTTAATCCTCCCTTTTTCAAACAAGTCTGCATCAGGGCAAGACAAGTTGCATTTGCTTTTAATTAGAGGCCTCCCGCTGCCGGTAGGGAGGCGGGGCGCTGTGGGGAGGAGGCCCAGAGAGTCCCAGAGCCCAGGGCCAGGGTGGAGGGCGGGGGGGGGCTTCTCTTTCCTGAGGGCAGTGCCTGGTGCCGGCGCGGGACTCAGGACTCTGTCCTCCCCCACGGAGGCCGAAGCTGTTATGTCTGTGTAGTAGAAATGGGAAGCCGAATGCAGACTGGGCCTGAGCGGGAATTCCGCCACTGAGGGAGAAGCACCCAGATGTGGCCGGAGGACTGGACTGACCCGGCACGGTCCACTTCCTGAAACCCTCGTGCTTTGGGAAGCCTGTGTGGGTTCCTGAGGAAGACCCGGGAGCTGGGATGGAGCCACACATCCGTGAGTCTGCTTCCCTTCTGGGGCGGCTTCTGTGACCCTATCCGGGATCTTGCCCACAAACTCAGTGTCCTCTTTCAACTAAGGGCTCAAAGCTGTTTATTCACTGAAGAAATAACTTATTTTCTCTCCTGCAGTAATTCGTCCCTCTTTATACTACTACAGAGTTCCCTCCAGAAACATGGTAGTTTCAGTCAGCGTCGGAGAACTAAAGACTTCCGGCCAGTTTAGGCGTTGAGAGTTTGCCTTTGGGAAGAAAATGCTGTGTGTCTTATTTATTATGCCTGTGACTTGGGTCCTGTGGGGGAAGGGGCACCCCCAGGGCGCGGTGTCTTTACCTGCTCCTTGTGGAACTGCGATTATTCCCGCCATGTGCTTTTGGCACATCCTGGTTTGGGATGAAGTAAGGAGAACACAGTGGTCAGAGAAGTGTTCCCACCCTGAAGCCTGGAGCTCAGGAGCTACATTTCTGGAAGCGGTCTAGCCTTTGGGGACAGTTCTGTCCTGGGCATGGTTGTTTCTTCAGAGTTCTCTCGTCTCTTCAGAGTCTATCTCACCCTTACTGTTCTGTAATCCTCACCCTTAGCGTTCTAAGTGTCAACTTTTGTGTCCCCTGGTCTCCACAAGCCACCATCACCCTGCTGGCAGCAGGAACACAAGTCAGGTGTGACGCTTTTTAGTCATTACATTGGACTCATCTCCTGAGATACAAATTCTCTTGTCGTCAGCGGATGCCAGCTTCAAATTTCAGGGCATCACCTTTCTGAAATCTCTGGGTCTTGCCTCTTTCTGGGGAACCAAAGGGCCTTCATGCCCCCTGGTCTCACATCTAACTGGAGAGCTCCGAGCTCCTGCCCTCTGCTCACCTGGGTCAACGACTTGCCTCCCTGGTGAGGTGACCTTGCTTCCTGGCTCTTGATGCAGATCCTTGCTTATCCCCAGAACCCAGAGGCATGGTGGGGTGTGTGTGGGGGGGGGGGGCTGTTCCCAGGCATTCTCAGCTAAAGGTGTCCTATGCTGTCTCAGCTGACAGATCATCTCCTGTGTCAGGACCAGAAGCTATAAGCTACACAAAGTTAAGTGTTTTGTCTCAAAAGCATTCTTAAGAATGCTGATGTCCAGAAGAGTGTCCTGTGAGTTCCAAGAGTGCTTTCTTGTGAGTAGGTTTGGTGCGTGTGAAGTGGATTAAGAATGTTGTTTTTCTTTTACTGTGAAAAAAGGAGGCCTCCAACGATGTGAGGTTCAAAGGTATCTCCTTGCTAGGAGGCTGTGGGGTTGGGGAGGGGCTGTCTCAAGAGCACAAGGGTCTAACAAGGCATGAAAACCAGCATGACTGCTCTGCAGTTAGACGTTGGCTGCCCACCCTGAATGAGGAAGGGAGAGGCCGGCTGCACATCTGCTTGGGGTTCAGTACCTCCCAGAGGGTCCTGCCTGGGCGGAGGGCAAACAAGCAGTGGGACAGCAGCAGCCTCTGGACTGGAGAGACAGGGTAGGGTGTGCCCCTGGGGAGCAGAAGCCCTCAGCTCCAGCATGGGTGCTCCATGCCTTCCCCTGCACCTGGAATGTGCGATTCGTGCCCATAGAAATGCCACGGTCCTGCTTCATTGGGGCCCCACAGCTAGGGGAAGGTGGAAGGGAAAAGGGACACTTCACTGCTCATGAGAGGCTTCAACTTCTAGAGGGCCGGGCAGTGCCTCAGAGCAGGATGGGGGGTGGGGGTTACCTGCCAGCCTCCTGGCTACTGTGGGTTTGTTTAAGCTGGGCGGGGGGGCGGCTCTTTCTCCTGTCTTTTCCTCTTGGCCCCACGAGCCAGCCCAGGGCCCTGGAGAGAATTGACGAAGTCTACCTGTTGTGACCCGAATCTCTGGTGTTCCCACCATGACCCAGCTCTGTGCAAAGCCCTTGGCCTCACCACACCCTGGTGAAGCGTGCGTGAGTGTCCGTTTCTTGCACACGTGAACTTCTAGAGAGAGTGAATATCTTGCCTTAGAGAGCCAGGATTCAAACCCCTCTCCCTGCCTTGCCTTCCTGTGAATGCCTCACCATCCAAATGGACCTTACATGTCAAAGAGGGCAGGAGACAGTGGGCTTATAATATACTTTTTTTTTTAAGAACCTTAATATTATTAAGCATTAACTGAACTAATGACATGAAATGCAAAAAAAAAAAAAAAAAAAACACAAAAAAAAACCAAAATAATGTTGATTCCTTTTTGAAAAAGTCCTTTTGGGTTCATTGCATGTAATTGCATCCATTTCTTGGACACGTGAGGTTAAGAGTGGCTGACTTGTGTTTAGCGAGAAGTGTACTGGTACGTGGCTTGGGGCGTAGGAAGGGTGAGGTGATGACCCGGGTTTCTGGCAAACACAGCCAGACTTCGATGCCTGCTGAGGGCCATTTTGCCTTGTATCCGCGGGAAGGCTGTGGCTCCCACGTATTAGAGGCATATTTTTGTGAATGTGATCAGAGTCGTGAACATATTCAGTTGAATGTCTTAAATGCTGACAAATCTTCTTCCTTGGACGAAAATTTGTTTTCAGAAGCAGCTAACTCATTTAGAGCCAAGTATGTTGAATGGAGAGGGTAATCGAGCTGGCTGCTAGCATTTGGAATTCTAAACAAAGATGTGACTATTAAGTTCTCGAAGAGGTAATTCCTAAAGTTGGTCCAGACAGAAGGGCAGCATCTTTGCAGGGCTGGACGGCTGCCTAAGAAAATGTTTCTGAAGGATGGTATTTATTCAGATGTGGAAGTTCCCAGAGCACCTCTGAGGGACATACCACGCGTGTGGCTTTGTGGGGTCTCCGTGAAGCTATCTTGCCCACTGGCCAAGGACCCGAATACACGGTAACCCTGGGAACTTAGCCTGAAGAAGCTAAAGCCGAGCATTCTAGTTGTTTCTGGCTTAGTTTAGCCCAGCATGCTCCAAAGTCGGGTTCAGACCCATTGTTCTAAGATACCCTGATTTCAAAACGAGAACACTTGTTTGGAGACAGGAAGAATGCAAAGTTCAGTATTTCAGTATTCTCTGTCTTCTTTAAAACTGCCCTTCACATCAGAGATATTTTTTCTATGGGAAGACTTTTGTGGGGATTAGAAAGGACGTGTCATTTCCTCCTTCCTGACCAAGGATCTTTCTGAGGTTCTTGTGTGCATTTATGGAAACAGATAGGGTTTTGTAGAGTTGTCCTTTGAGTGTGTGTTCTTTTTTTCTTTTCTGAAATCCCCAGAGAAGGAGACTGGTTAAAAGACTAGAAATATCAAAGCATTATATGCCAGTCAATTTGTTGTGCTAAAGTATCTTTTCATAATGTTATAATCCATCCTGTTTGCTGGCAACTGTTCACAAAAAAGCCTGTGAAACCCAAGGGGACAATTTAGGTCTATAAACAGAGATCTTACACCAGCTTTGTCCCCTCCGCATTTTTTAACAGGACATTTCAAAGGATTTGCCTACTAGATTCTGGTGGGGTTTTTTTGTTTGTTTGTTTTTCGGGTTTTTTGTTTTTTGTTTTTTGTTTTTTTTTAGGACATGCAATGCAGGTGCAGAGTTCTTACCTAGGAAGGATGGGACCAGACGGGGGTGGGAGGGAACCAGTCTATCCGGGAAACTAACCCAGATTTCTGTATTACCTTGGCCCGTTTCTTCAAAAACAGAAGGTCTTTCATCCTAGGTTGCTGTGAGTTTCATTAATGTTTGTGTTGTTGGACTTATGGTTAAAAGAAGCATGTTGCTGGAATGTGAACTTCTTGAGTTTTCACATTGTCCCGAATTTCTTTTTGCAAACCTTTAAACCTTAAATCCCTGGTCGATTGTGTTAAAACCATTATGAGAATGTTATTTAAAGTTGTATTATAATTGCCACCTCCACTAATTATTCAGTACTGTAGCAGCAAAGTATTATTTGTAAGAATCTGGTTATTTTTATACTTATATCTACTTTAAGTCTGGCGTTCTAGTCAGTAAATGATGCAATAAAATGAATATCATTTTCACTGTGCGTTTTTCTCATAATAACAAGCAAACAGAGGGCAGCAGGTTACCTTTCACAAATTAACAGTGGAACTCTTCAGGAAACTCCTGTGTGGCAAACATAGGGACTGAGTTATTTCTGGATCCTCAGTACCCAGCTCAGTGAGGAAATTCACTTTTGATGATGGGTGGATGGATGGACACACTGACCTAAATGATAAAAAAGCCTGACTCAGGTGTATAACACCTGCTGGTGTTTGCTTTCCTTTCTATGGATTGGAGAATAGATAACCAGTTCACATGTTCAATATTTCCTCCTGAATGCCTCCCCTGCAACCATCCCAGGCTACCTTTTCACATCTTGAACGGGAAGGGGCAGGAAGCAAGCATGTCTGTGCTCCATGGCCAGGAGAATCTGTGGAACATGAAGAGAGCAGACCATGAGACATAGACTCATGCTGACCCGCGAATATGGCTGCCTGGCTAGATAGATGTTCATTAATTATTTGCTTCCTTCAGTTCCTCTCATGGCAGGGATGGTGAGCCTCTCAGATGCTGTATGATGGAAACCTTGGTCACTAGGAGAGGCTAACCTTGTCGGCTTGGTGCCTGAGGGTGACCTTTGGGCACATTAGATCAGGGTAGCAGTCCATCAGATAGCTCGGAGTGGGCATGACCAGCAGCACTCTCCTATCCTGACCCAGCTCCCCCTAAACTCAGCTTTCTTAGCCCGTCC